CTTCTTTGGTTTGGGAGGAGCTGTGTCCAAGGTGGAGGTCACCGGAGGGGTCACAGCTGAGGTGGACGTCCCAGGAGGGACGGACGGATCTGACAGAGAGAGAAACTTCATCATAACAGAGACTCACGTGGACAACATCACCCCCCCCCCACACACACACACACACACACACACACATTACCTGTTAGTGTGACCTTGACCTCCCCCTCCACTCCCCTCTGCCCTGCAGGCGCCTGACCTCCCACTCTGAGCTCCATGTAGGTCGGGGGCGGACTCTCCACGATGGTGAGGGGGGGCTCCGGGTCCTGAACCATGAAGGAGGAAACAGAGAGGAGTCATGAGTGATGACAGAGGAAGAGGAGGAGATGTGTCATCTGACAAAACAACAACCTGTTAATGAGAAAACTGAGGTTCTCACCTCCTCCCTCTGTTTCTCCTCCAGAGAGACCATCTCCAGCAGCTCCTCCTCTGACGGCAGGTTCTCCTCCTTGATGATGATGGGGGGAGGAGGAGGACGAGTGGATGCGAGGGAAGGAAGAGCAGGACTCATGGCCACCTGCTGCTGTTGATGGGGGGGAGGCGTGTTGATTATGACGAAGACGGGCGGGGCGTGAGGAGCAGAGTGGGAGTGAGGTGGGAAGCTGGCACTGTGGTTGGCGACGCCCCCGCAGTCGTCCTGCTGCGGCCCCTGAAGGCCCTGGAGGGGGATGAGAGGGGTGAGGGAGGACGAATCCCCGACACTGGTGAGATAAATCTGCGGCGGGTCGCTCAGAGGAGGAGCAGGGGGATTCTGGGAAAGGAGAAATAGAAAAATGACACCAAGTCTGACCTGCAGGTGGCCCCAGAGGAGAGCTCATTAAAATCTATAGGGTTGATCCTCTGGAGAGAAGGAATGAAAACCTGACGCGTCAGGGGACATGGCCTCATACTAACCTGTGATTGACTGGCGGCGCTGGCTGGTATCTGAGGACTGAGCGCCGGAGTCGGACAAGGAGACGGCTGAGTGACTATCACCTGAAGAGACGAGTCGACAACGCCCCCTACTGACAGAGGTTTAGCCTCTGACAACACGCAGACCTGAGGAGGACGAGGGGGCAAAGAGGAAGAGGCGGAAATTAGAGTCTTGACATTCTCAGAGCCAGGAGCTGATCTGAGACCAGCTGTGATATTACTCATTATCATTATTGTTAAATATTAGATAATCATTTTATAATACTTCCTAAATAATTACTTCCTGTAATTGTCTCTTTGTTTCCTTGATTTTCTGAAAGAACCAAACATATGTCGCATCCTCTCTGATTGGTTATTACTTCTCTGACATCACCAGTCATGTGATCACGTCTCACCTCTCTGGGCGTGCGCTCCACCTTGGGCGCTGCGTCTTGTTGCAGCAGCAGCTCTGTTTTGATTGGCCGTGGGTTTGGCGAGGCCTGCAGTGATTGGATGGTGAAGGTGGAGTAGAGGCCGGACTTCATGTAGTCGTTTCTGGAGTTTTTCTGGGGGGTGCTGGGTGACGAGCGCTGCAGATCGAGACAGAAACCAATCAATCGATATGATTGTAAATATTACGACGTCTTCTTTCTGCGGAAACACACAAAACTACAAACAGGAAGTCAAAGTTCACCTGGGGCAAGCCCTTTGACGGACAGGTTGAGGCCACGCCCCCGAGACATTTTGATTGGCTGGTTGGGTCAGCATTTTCCCTCCTCTGGCTGTCCTCTCCATTACGTACCCCCTCAGGCAGGGAGGGGTCGGGCTGACTGACAAACTTGTAGACAAACTTCTGACCGCTGACTTTCTTTATGATGTTCTGAAAGACGACAACAACAAAAAAACACAAGAGCAAAGGGAAAACGTGAATAAATGAACTACCGAGCCAATCACTGATGTGGGATTGATTGTTCGAGTACTAGTACCTTATCGTAGTAGTATCTCAGCGCTCGGCTCAGTTTGTCGTAGTTCATGTTGTGCTTGTTCTTGCGGAGCCCCCACAGTCGTGCGACCTCTTCAGCGTCCAGCAGCTTGAACTCTCCGTCCTCACCCGTCCAGGAGATCAGGTGACGCTGCCGCTGGTCCTCCAGCAGGTGGAGCAGGAACTGCCACAGCGTGATGGACGGGTCCATGGCTGAGAGGGGGGGGCATCATCAATAACAAATCAATACTAAATTACCTCCTCATATATCTGTTCCTTGTGACCTTTGACCCCTTATATCTAATCATCTTAGAGTCCAAGTGACAAATGTTTAAAATGTGAAGAATTCTCTAAAAACTTGAGGCGTCACGTTCAAGAGTCAAAATCAGGTTTTGTGAGGCCAACGTGACGTTTGACCACCAAAATCTAATCAAGTCGTCCTCGAGTTCAACTGGACGTTTGTACCAAATCTGAAGAAATTCCTCGTTTATGTTTCTGAGAAGTTGTGTTCACAAGTCAACCTGAAAACATAACACCTATGGCCACTAGGTGTCGCCAGCGCAGAAAAATAAAGACAGGAACATTCGCATCACTAACAATCTGATCACAAAATAATCTATTAATCAAAACTGTGATAGCGTAGAATACGGACACCTGAGGCTGATTGAAATCTTTACACATCATCGTCTCCATGTGACGAGAATGTTCAGATTCATCGAGTTACAGTGACGTCCGGTGTCTCAGTCGTGGAGATGGTGTTGGAGATTTTTAAACTTTACAAGCCTTTGTCAAGAAAACCTTGAAGTATGTATGTCTTCAATCAGTGACAGACAGATAAATAGAGTCTGATGAGGTGGGGGGCCTCGTCTGTGGTCGAGCAGTTTGAATGGACGTAGACAGAGGGAGACAAGTGGACAGACAGGAAGTGCATTGAATTGACTGAGCTCTCTGCACGAGCGCGAACCAGTGACTGCCCCACTTCACACTGACATGCAGATCAGCCTCAATACCATTGGCAGACCTCTTACATAACTAACCTATCCAACACCTTGGAAACCATCGCCATGGTGAGACCTTTCATCAACTGTAACCAAGGGAGAAGGACAGCGGGTGAGAGAGGAACAAACACAAAGACAGAGGGAGAGGTTTGTCCTGCAGGGAGTCTTTGCTGCTGCTCAAAGGCACATCAACACACATACATTAATACACACATAACTATTGCCTTTGTTTGTGCTGTGATCTCTGTTCACGTTTACATTTGTGCAAATGGTCGGGCTGTTCCTGCCGCCCTCTCTCCGCCACGAGCTCAATGTTTGACGGTATATTTTACTCTGTTAGGGGCAAATGGTTGTTCACTACTTTTCACGATGCATTGTGGGAAACAATGAGAGCACTAGACAGGGTATAAACAATGTCACTGCACATTCAGACAGAAAAAAGAAACCTCACTATATAATGATTAGTAAATTACGTCATCAGCAGAAGATGACAGCGTTCCCATCAGATATAGTTTGGCTTCATTTTTGCACAGTGGAAGGAAGTGGAGATGCTCATTCAACTTTATTTACTCTTTGATAGTGATGAGTTGATGTTCAGTCTCCGTCACTGTCTGTGGTCGATGTGTGAGATCTGGACTGAGCTCAACATCTCACCCACTTCCTCTCATGTGGATGAGTTCTCAGCCTGCAGGTCTGAACATGCTGAGGACCAATCCGCTCCAACATCCTGCACACGCACACAGATGGAGGCAGCAGAGGCCTCAGCAGCTGCCACACACATGTTGTTCCTGTAACACACACACACACTCTCTCTTTCTCACACACACACACACACTAGCATGTAAACACAGCGTGAAGAGGCTCCATCTCTTACCGTTTATCAGCGGGTTTGACTCCATCTTGAGCAGGATGTTGTTCTTCTGTGTCTGCAGCCTCAGACCTTCACCATGCTGCTGTTGTTGTTGTGTTGACTGTGTGTGTGTGTGTGTGTGTGTGTGTGTGTGTGTGTGTGTGTGTGTGTGTGTGTGTTCGCAGCAGGCTTCAGCTGTCAGAGTCTGTGTGATCGGGGTGAAACGTGCAGCAGCTTCTCTCCGGATCTGCTGTGGTTATGTAACCGCTCACAGGAGCCGCTGCCCGGCTCCTCCATGCTAACAACACCGCTGCGCTCCACCTGACAGTTGCCTCCGCCGCAGGAAACACACCGTGACGCCTGGGACGCGGTTAACAGCCGCGTGCGGAGCTCATCGCTCGGTGCTAACGAAGCGTCAGTGACCGTTTGTGACGTGCTTGTTTCTCCGCCTCATCTCTGCACTGAGCCTGGATCCGTCCACGGCGCGGATGGGAGCTAACTAGCTGAGATGCTAACACCTCCGGGCGGCGTTCATAAAGCGCTAAATGTGAGAAAGCCGAATATTCCAGCTGATCTGTGGATCGGTGGTTTAGACGCCAACGTATCGCGAGATTTTAACAAAGTTTCTCCAAGTTGAGTCTTCGCAAGGGCTAAAGTTATTAGCCTAGCATGCTAACCAGCTAGCCTAGCCTGCTGCTCCCTCCTCTCCTCTCCTCTCCCGCTGCTGGTGCGTCAGACCCCGGGCAGCGCCGCCGCGGAGCCGAGCCTCTGGCCTCCGACACCGGGGAGAAGAAGTTTGTAAAAGCCGCCCGGTGGTTTGTGGTGGAGGAGCGACGAGGAGCTAACTTCATCACTCAGGTGTTTTCTGTCTCTTCCTGTTTGGACTAACGCCCCCTCACTGCGTCAGGTTACCCGCCACCAACTAGGGCTCACTTCCGGGCAGGATTTTCAGAATAAAGGTCTGTTGCGCTTGAAGTTTCACCTCTTTCCGCATTTTTTCAGTGTTGGAAAGTTTCTCAGTAAAGTTACTCAGTAAAGTTACTCTGTAATGTAACTCAGTGAAGTTACTAAATACTAATAAGTACATAAATACAGTTACAGTACTAATCATTTTCTCTTTCATTCTTTAACCAGAAATATTTTTTGTTTTAAGAACTAAACTATTTATTTATGGATCCATAATTGGATTCAACAGTATTTTGTATTGGATTCATCTTTAAAAGTACAGCGGCTGCTGCGTTCATCAAACCACCGAATAAAACCTGAACTTCTGAACTAGTCTCTTCATCTTTTAGTCTTCAAAATAAAAGTCTTCAGCGTTAAACAGAAACATTTATTAGCAGGTGACTGTGTCATCAGATTATTGTTGACGCATTAATGCAGCAGCTAATTCCCTGTTTCATTTAGTGCAGCTAGAGATTATTTTTATTACGCTGATGATTCTCTCACTTCATCTGATGAATGTAAATCTTTAAACATCAACAGTGACTTCCTGTGACGCTGTGTCTATTTCAAGAATCACCATCACTCTGTTTCCTTACGCCACTGCTTCTATTTATCAACCAGTCTCCATGGCAACAGGCTCGGTGTTGTTGACTGAGCATCTGTGACGGTTCATGTTTTAGTCAGTGTAACTTTATTGCTCAGCGTCTTATTTTTCTATGAATCACATCTGAAGACCTGTTTACGCAAACATGTCCAAAAGTATGTGGACAGCCGCAACAGCCTCCTCTTATCTGGTTCTAGTCGCAGAGGCTTTACTTCTGTCTGAGTCCTGCAGAGTCCACGTCTGTCACAGATCCACCACCATTCAAATGTCCTCCAATGACGATTTGATCCCACCTCCCCTCATTATTATCAGAACAAACTGCTGACAGGATTTATTGAATGTCCATGTTGAATCCTGGAGCTGCACAGTGATCAGGTTGAGACCTGAACTGTCCATCCTCCGAACGTACAGCAGTTTATCCACACGTCTAGAAAACTTCTCTTCTTCTACTCTCTGGCAGGTCGGTCAGTCCCTGCAGCTCCCGTAGACCCTGAGAATGAGGAAGAAGAAGAACAGATCAGATTTCTCACATAAAACAAGACAGTCTGCAACTTATGTCTGCTTCAAATTTGATGATTCTTCAATAACTGGTCATTTATACGATCAATACCGAGCAAATAGTTAGCAAGGAGGCTCAGAGTTTCAAATGTAGTCTCAGGAAGTTAGGCAGCACTGCCACTGAGCAAGGCACCGGCTGCACAGCTGGAGGTGAACTCACATATATCCTCAGTAAAATCAGTCCCCATGAAAATATTAAATAAAATATTATTAAAAAAGCTAATATTGTTAATGCTTGTTGTAATTCACTGAGACATGTCAGTTAAGTGAAATGAAGGTTAATCAATAAAGTTGTTAACTGGTAGATTCAGTCTGAGTCATAATTGATAAAAATCCTCTAAAGAAAATCAGAAATGAGCGGTCACAGTGACTGTACCTCCAGCACCATGCGGATGTTGGCTTTTATTTTGGCGGAGTCTTTGGTGAGCTGGTCTGTGAAACTGAAACACATAATGTTAGCATCTTTAGCATCTAACATCCACAACACTGGACACAGCTAGCATTGAGCTAACACAAACTGTGACTTGATCTGTTTACTTCTTTGACTTGTTACGTTGGTTTCTAACTCAACTGGTGATTTAAAAAAACAAGTCAACAGGAATGAAATGAAAAGATCTGCAAAAATAAAACCTCATGAAAACTAAAAAACGTTTCATGTGGTGTTTGAGGAGGTTTCAGACACATGACAGATGCTGAACTGACGCTGTGAGCTGATTCGTCTTCTTATCGATGAACCGCAGCGCCTCGTCGTGACTCATCTCCACAAAGAACCCGTAACCAATCGCCACAAAGATTCTGGACGAGTCCTCCCTGTCAGAGACGCACATGAAAGAAGTTTTATTCTTCTGAAAGTGAAAGACATCACATGTTTGATTCTTCATATTTACGTGTATCTGGTAAAAACATGAAGTGTTCATGTGACTGTCGTGGATAATGATTTACAGCAGCCAATAGCTCTGAAGGTGTGTGACGCCCCCCCTGTGGTAGAGTCGACAGTAATGACGACCGTCTGCTCTCTGTTGTCGTGAACTTCTCGCCACCATCTTCACCTACGGCTGCGGATTTAACTGATGAATGGACATTAACAATCTAAGCTCACAAACTTTATGCAGACGGCTCAACATAGCTAACGATGCAAAGATGAGGGCGGGACGAGCTGGTGACGCAAACAGGATATCATCTGTAAACCAGCCTCTGAAGGTCACACCCCCTGAACTGAAACAGTAATGGATCACTGTGTTGTCTTGGTGACATCTCAGTGATCGGTTCTGTGGTTTGTGACCAATCAGCTGTTGATCAGAGTGACTGATGAGGAGCTCACACTTCAGCGTGGACGTAGAAGTTACAGCCAAGATCAACGTCTGTCTTCAGCCGCTGAGAGCCCGCCTCCTGCAAGGACACACACGGTGACATCACGGTGAAATTACTCTGACTAAACAGCACGACAACAACACGCCTCTGACATGTGACGCTCACATATTACATGTAAACAACATTCAGTCTAAAGGTTAGAGCTGAAATAGTGGATTCTTCAATTAATCAAATTATCAGCAAAACCAGTTTTTACATCAATGAATTCACTGATGAAGATAAACTTTAGAAATCATCAAGTGTGAACATTCATATCAATCAATAATCGATACTATCAGGACTTTACATTGATTTTTGTTTATTCCTGATTTATTTTCCTTCTGGTTTAAAACGTGAAGATAATTTTTACTGAATTTATCTGAAGAGACTTTTCTTCTTAATAAAAAATACAAATCTGTCGACAGAATCGGATCAATGATGATGGGATGTGTGTATGTGTGTGCGTGTGTGTGTGTGTACCTGCAGAGTGTGTATTGTGTTCTTCAGCTGCAGATATTGACTGATCTTCTCATAAACCTCGTCTCTCTGCTCCAACACCTTCCTGCACAACAAACATTACACATTAATATATTTATAGAAGCATTATTGTGATTATACACACACACACACACACACACACACACACACACACACACACACACACACACGAGTATCTGTGTTTGTTCGCTGGTATGAAAACTTTTAGTTTGCAGAATAAACAATGGATAAAAG